TTAAATTTACTTATAAACAGCCTTAACTCTAATATAATTCCTTCACAAAATCCCCATTAAAGATGTACATGTTCCTTCGAAACTAAAAAATCCTTATCATTTTAAAATATTTAATTTTAAATGAAATCAAATTTAATGCTCAAGCATATTGTTAGATAGACATAAGGATCTAATTGAAATGATAGTAATAGTGTGAAGATTCAATTAAAGTATTTTAAAGTTTAAGGATAAATTTAAAATTTTGATATAAGTCAGGGATCTTTGATACAATTAACTCAAATTCGTTAAATTTATAGGATATGCATTCCCGACATCTTTCGCAGTTTGACTTTACACATCAAAAACCCTCTGTTAGGGTTTCCAAAATTCCCAAATTAAAAATGAATCCTTTCTGCAATCAACAACACTAACACTACCCAGTGTTTTCTCCTTCACAGAATCTTCAACTTCAAACCCTTTTCTTCAAACCCAATTCGAGTTTCAAGCGAAAAAGACAAAAAAAGGGGTTCTTCTCCAACATTGTGAAGAAAAAATGAATGGCAGAAAAAGAGCAGCCATTAAAACTTCAACAAGCATCATCCCCGTCGTAAATCAAGAATCACCCATTCTTCCTTGCAGGATTCTTCTACTCACTCGCCGTACGATCTACGAAATCCTCGCGAGGCTCCCAATCAAAACCATTTTCCAATGCAGGTCCGTTTGCAAGAGGTTCCTTTGTTTCATATCAGATCCCGAATTCGCGAAGCTTCAGCTTTTAAAATCTCAAGTTTGCATCTTGATCAAGACTCAGCCGCTCCAAAACGCTTCCAAAAGACTCCAGTTAGCTCACGTAGAGTCCAGTGGCTCGAATTTACAGGTCTCGAAACTCAACTTAACCCCCAAATCAAATCTCCCCACTATTGATATCTCTCACATGAATGCTTGCAATGGTTTGCTTTGCTTAGTTGGGTCTGAGAAAGATTATAACTTCTATGTTTGTAACCCAATTTTGGGCGAATTCATCACGATTCAACCGCCTTATAAGGATAGGCAAAGAGGTAGCTTTTGGGGGCTTGGTTATTCGACTATGATGGATCAATACAAAGTTTTGCAGAGCTATCATCCGGTTGTTGAATCCAATAATCGATATGTGATGGCTGAGATTTACACCATTGGAACTGGTACATGGAGGAGCATTGGAAATGCACCTATTGATACCGTTGCTATGCCGTTCAATGCTTTCTTGAATGATGCCCTTCACTGGTTTCCTTGTACTCCTAATGGTAGTGAATTCATTCATACTTTCGACTTCAATTCTGAGAAGTTTGGGACACTCCCGCCGCCTGATCATTTCCGAGAAGATGATAAGAAGTTCACAAATTACTCGAGGATTGGTGTGCTAGGAGGGTGTCTGTTTATGATTTACTTCACAAACTCGTCGCGGTTCGATATTTGGGTTATGAAGGAGTATGGTGTGAAGGAGACGTGGACCAAACAGTTTGTTGTTGAGAATTTGTATCTCAAGCAAGGCAGTTGGGATTTCTATGAACCAATGGTTGTTTTGAACAATGGGGAGATTTTGATGTTGTACAATAATGATGCAGTGGTTTGTTACAATCAGAAGCGGAAAAATCTTCGCGGAACTAAGTTTTTCCGCACTCGTTCACAGTTTGATGCGACTGCTTACACCCCTTCACTGGTTTCTCTCGACAACGTTGCAAAAGGAGAGCAAATTTCTAGGTACTTATATGTGTATTTATTATATGCACATATGTATTTATGTGTTTATATATGTATATATATTTGCATGTGTGTATATACTTATTAAGTACTCATGCATTTGGTTTGTTTAAAATGAGTGCAAATTGTCGATATATATTTTTGCGTGTGTATGCACACACACACATACATATATATATATATCAAGTACTCATGTGCTTGTTTTGCTTAAAATGACTGCAAATTGGCTATATGTATTGTATCCATGTGTCTGTGTTTGTGTATATGTGTAACTGTGTGTGTGTATACTTTCTCTGATGAAAAGGTTTCATTTATTTCATACGTGCTAAAGTATATTTCATCATACTATGTTTTATTGATTGAAGTTCATCAGTTTATAGGAACCCTGATGTAGGTAAAGTTTTGTAGTGTGCACCATATAGCATATACCAACATATGTTACTTGGACTCGATGCGGGTATACACTTGCATGGGTATATTCAATTCTTTTCCAAAATTTTTCCATTTTTGGTGGACCCTGGTAGGATTATATTCTACTTATATCTGAAAATGTGTCCAAGAGGTGCTGGACACCCATGTCCAACATGGGTACGGGGATATGCCCTCCCCATGACCTTATAAATACATGAAAAATCTTTGAAAAAGTTAAAGATACTTGCGTGCGAAACATACTAGTATACGAAACTAACACCTGAGTCTAACTAACATAGCCCATTGTATCTATTTAATGATATGATGTGCTTTAGCTATTTAACTAACATGTATACTCGATGCATGAGTTGTTAGGTTGATCCCATTGATTTGGCTTTTCATTTTTCTTGAATTACTCGTATCCGATACACACTGTCTGACACATGTTTGGTCATGGGTATAAGGATATGACCCCCAAAGACCATCCAAATGCATAGAAAAACTCGAAAAGAGATGAATGCTCCCATGTGCAACATATACTTGTATCTGATGCTAAAAAATGAGTCTGAGCAACATAGGTTATATCATGCCATATTATCCTCTTATCCATGTGGTTTTTACGCTAAAAAGATACTAATATATAGGATGCAAAGCACCAAAGACTATGACAGGCTTTGTACCGACGATTTCCAAGATTGTGTTGATTGTGGAGCGCAACTCGTTAACCCTATCTGTAGTTTTCCGCCTTTTGGGGTTACCTATGGTGCTGTAAATTACCATGTGAGTTTCTTGGTTTCCTTGAATTTATATTCCAGTCTCTGATTGAATATGCATTGACATCGGTTGCAATTGAATGATGAATCAAATGTAAAGAATTTTCAGGCAGATATATATGGGAGAACCTCAGAGAACAGATGTGCAGCATGTACGGATCGGCGAGTTACTCCGACGAAATCGTTTCTTAGCCTGTGGAATCTGTGAAGAAAACAGTAATTGATAGATGACGAGCCGTTTCTACTTGTGGTATCAACTTAATCCTTTGGGATTTACATTCTCCAGTTCAGCAACTGAACTTTTATGCCTTATTTTCGGATGTTATTTCTCTTTCGTGCTTGTAAATATTTTGAAACATCTTCCTGTTTATCTAGGGAAAATTAGTTTGTTAATTGGTAGCGTAAACCGCGAACTGCCATTGGTGTGCTCTGAATTCCGTAACTGGACCTTGTTACTTATCATTTTCTTTGAAATATCCATGTTTTATATCCGAGTCTCAGTCGAATGACGTGTCAATAGTCTTTTGAACTCTAAGAAAGCTCGCTCAAAAATGGAAGAAATGTAATGTTTACAGCCTCTATTGATGAGCATTAGATTGTTGAGGTTCAATAGCCTGTATTATATTTGTGTATTTTATTATGCTTGTTATATATGATCACGTGCATACGTTATTAATATATATATTTGTATAAAAAGCATAAAACGTTTTTTTTATAAAAAAAAATCACTTTTATTTTGTGAAATTATTAGTAAATATAATTAATATTTTAAATTACCAAACGCTAAATTAAATATAATTTTGTTAAGAACATTTTATTATAAAGTATTTAATGTGTTATACGTTGTATACACTAATAATGTGATGAATTACTAATAAATATGGTCCGATGACTGATCTAGTTTGGATGAAATAGATATACTAGTTTTCTTAAGAGTAAAAATTTTAAAAATACGAGAGAAAAAAAAAGCATAAAATTAGTCCTCGACGTTTGTACGAAGGTTCATTCTGTCTTTTATTCTTTATTTTGAAGCATTTTAATTCTTAGTTAAAATAGTTTTTATTAGATGAAATCATTAATTGACTACTTATTAATATAAATTATTGATGTAATGTTTTAATATATATTTAATCAATAACTTGATCATTTATCTAAAATGATGATGCGATATTTCTTTGTATACAAAAATTATTAAATTAATAAAAATTTAAATTTTATAAGAAATACGATGGTATTCAACACGATCCATCGCTTCATGTATATATATTTTGCATGTAATGGAATCAGGCCCATCTCTAAGCATGGGCAAGAGGGGCACTGGTGCCCAAATTATAAATTCACATATAATTAATAAATGATAAATTATCTATTTAGTCATCACCTATTATTTTATTTTTATTTTGACTATCAAATTATTATTTTTTTAAAATCATACTTAATGTTACATTTTGTTTCTTTTTTTTGTTACTCACCATTAAAAAAATTAACGACGATGCTGATGTGACTATTTTAAAAAGGATTATGTTTGTTTTGTGTGAGTAGTTGGGTGTTTAATAAGTTTTCTTGATGTTTTCTATTTAAAATTTGATGTATTTATTAGATAGTTTATTAAACGTAAAAAAAGTAATTTATAAGTAAATTTATTTAGTTTTTCTTGTTTTTATAATTCAATTTTTTCTATGTTTATTATTAGAAGTCTAAATTTATTTTCTTTCAATGTCACTAAAATCTCATAAACGAATCTGAATAGATGAGTGGTTGCTCCAAGTGTCAAAGACCCAGAACGGTGTGATGGTGTGAGATAAATTCTAAACTCCAAACGTGCTTCCTTATAGGCCCTCAACATTCCTCAATATACGCTACAAACATAAGATCCAAATATTATCTTTTTTAAACATTTATGCTGACAAAAGGGAACGAGAAATGAGAGGAACCCCCCCCCCCCCAAACACATTTAGCCACAAAAGATGGAGGAATTTGATGAAAAGAAAACAACATTCATTTTTGTGAAGGGAAAAAAAACTAGCGATTAATGCCAGTGCCTGTGCTTCCCCCTTTTTTAATTCATTTTCTTCTTTAATTTCTTGGGCTCTGAAAATGGCAGATTCAACGGACCTTTCTTCTTCTTCTTCTCCTTCAAGGTACCACTTTTACATGAATCCTCGTGTTTTATTTCTTTTCCAATATAGTTTGCGTATGTGTTTTCTGAGTTTGATTTTAAATGTTTTATGCTCTTGAATAAAGTGGTATATGATCCCCCAAGAATTCTTCAATGGACGTCCATTCGATTTATAAAATTAAAATTTGATTATCTTAATATATTGAAATTTTATACATATAAAGTACATAATATCCCACATTCATTCTTAGAACCAAATAATAATGATAATATATACCAGCAATCAATTGGTTTGATGATATAAGATATTAGATCCCTCAATTGACGATAGTAATTCAAATCTTGATGTATGTGAATAGAGTAAATTGGGTTGAAAGGGTCATCTCATATTAGACCACTACAGTACTCGATCTGAATCACTCGATTAATAAATCAAATACCGGTGGTTATTAAAAATCAAATAATGATATATGTTGTTTTTTAATTCATAATTCAAGCACAGTTCATTTGTTATTATATTTATTATTTGAGCAAATAACATATTTAGTTCACGACTTTTTTCTTTTTCAAAATCATATCTATTGTTATGTTTTCGTTTCATTTTGATCACATGCTGTAAAAAAACAGTGATATTGATGTGTCACCATAAGATAATATCATATAATCATTGAAAAAAATTACGATGTCACAGTTATGTTAATCTTTAATAGCGGGAGGCCAAAAAGAAAGCAAAATATAACGTTAGATATAATTTTGAATTTTGGTCACACGACTTCTTTTTCTTCAAAATCATATCTAATGTATATTTTGGTTTTATTTTCATCACATGCTGTTAAAAAAACAGTGATAATGATGTATCACCATAAGATAATGTCATATAATCATTGAAAAAACTTACGATGTCATCAGTTATATTAATCTTTAATAGCGGGTGGCCAAAAAGAAAGCAAAATATAGCGTTGGATATAATTTTGAGAGAAAAAAAATAATTGGATGACCAAAACAGAATTATGTGAGTAGTTGGGTGACTAAATATGTAGTTTACCTTATTATTTTGGTTATGTGTATTATGTGTTTTACTCCCCACTCGCAGTGCTGAACCATCCACGGAGAACAAAATCTGCAATAAAAGAGGCAACGAAAAGAAAATATGGGAGACGTTTCGCCTTATTTTGAAAAAGAATCGAGCTGGTTTCTCCGACGCAATCTCATCTCTCGGTAATCTAATCATCCGTTTCTTCGTTTTTCCCGTACTGATGATTGACAATTACGTTAGAAATGTAATTTCTTATGTTCTTCAGACTTGGCACAATTGAGAACTGAATTAGAAAGAATAGATGAACAATCTGTGGAACCGGTTCCCGACGATTGCTTAACAGATACTGCAGAATCCAAACAATCAGTACAGAAGCTTTCCACGGAAATCGCAGAATCCAAACAATCGGTGGCGAAGCCTTCGACGGGAACCGTTGAATCCAAACAATCGGTAGCGAAGCCTTCGACGGAAATCGCAGAATCCAAACAATCGGTAGCGAAGCCTTCGACGGGAACGGCAGAATCCAAACAATCGGTAGCGAAGCCTTCGACGGGAACCGCAGAATCCAAACAATCGGTGGAGAAGCCTTCGACGGGAACCGCGGAATCCAAACAATCGGTGGAGAAGCCTTTGACGGAAACCGCGGAATCTAAACAATCGGTTGAGAAGCCTTCGTCGGAAACAGCAGAACCAGAGTCGAATTCGTCGAAAACCAGCACTTCTTCAGACTCTAAACATCAGAATAGTTCGAATTGGCGTGGATTCTTCCCTTCGCTGAGAAAAGGCGTTGCAATCCCTATTTATGGTTTCCCTCCATTGATACCCAAGTTCACGAGAAAAAAAGGCAAGAGAATCAAAGACAAAGAGGAACTCATTCCGCAACCATCAATTGAGTTGGATACCGATGCGTTTAATTTTAAAGCTTCTTGGAAGAACTTCACCTTCGCTGAGCTTCAGGAAGCAACTGATAACTTCAGCCATGGTATCTTTCTTCTTTCTCTCATTTTTATTTTGTTTTTAAGCTCAATATTCTGAATTGGAATTTAGAATAATATCTGCAATCCTTTCCTTATTTCTATCCGGAGACTACTACCTCCTTCATCCTCATATTGTTATATGTTTGATTGTTTTTGTTGAGAAGAGAATTTGATAGGAGAAGGAGGGTATGCGGAAGTTTACAAAGGGAAAGTAGAAGATGGAAACCTTGTGGCCGTAAAAAAGCTAATGAGAGGGTCACCGGAAGAGATGACAATGGATTTCTTATCAGAACTGGGAATTATAGTTCATGTGGACCATCCTAATATTGCTAAACTCATTGGCTATGGCGTCGAAGGAGGGATGCACCTTGTTCTTCAATTGTCTGCTCATGGAAGTTTGGCTTCTTTACTTTATGGTTAGTTTCTCTATACTTCTGATTTCTTTCCAATTGCTTATTGGGATTTAATCATGGATTTAAATAGCGACCCGTTACGAAATTAAACAATCGTTATATAACGATAAAGGTACATTTTGAAACCGTTATTATACAATCCCAATACCTGCGATGACCATAATAGAATACACTATTACTATAAACATTTCGGATTTAATCACTTGTTCGTATATGCAGGGCCAAAGGAGAAGCTGAATTGGCGCATGAGATTCAGGATTGCTGTAGGAACTGCAGAAGGCCTTAAATATCTTCACGAAGGTTGCCAAAGGAGAATTATCCATAAAGATATCAAGGCCGCTAACGTTTTGCTTACAGAAGACTTTACTGCTCAGGTACATCTAATTTCATATTTAATTGAATCATAAAGCAGGGATTTAAATTGTGGTTGTGGTCAAATTTTCGGTTGTATTATATTTATTACGGTTGCAGACATAACGAATGTTATTACAGTCATTATAGATATTGTAGTTATATATTTTTTTAATTCACACAATTTATTATTGAAATAATATTTTAATTAGTGCAACGAATTATTGGACATTTTTTTAATTTTACCATAACAGAATAATAATGGGAATTGTAGTCCGTTATTGGTGTGATTCCATTTCACAAAGGTATTTTTCATGATAATGATTTCAGACAGTACCACTATCGTTATATAGTGACCATTATCCCAATATCTGATTGCTATTTAAATCATTACCCTAAACTTTAAACCCTAAACGATATACCCTGATATTAAAATTATAAATTTGTCTAGATTGCGGATTTTGGGCTTGCAAAATGGTTACCTGATCAATGGACTCATCATACAGTCTCTAAAGTGGAAGGAACATTCGGGTATGTCCTTTTCTTCATCCCAAACCTTTAAAATTCATTTTTATTCCATAAAGATTGTCATCACAGTTATCTTCCGCCGGAGTTCTTCATGTACGGCATCGTCAATGAAAAAACTGACGTCTTTGCTTACGGAGTACTTCTGTTGGAGCTCATCACCGGCCGACAAGCCGTCAATAGTTCCCAGCAGAGCCTTGTTATGTGGGTACGTTCGCTTGTCTCCACCCTCATTAATATTCAAATTTACATATTAATTCTTCAATTCTATCTATATAAATAATAAATTCGGATATGTAAATTCGTTTTACTTATATAAATAATAAAGTTAAATATATTACTTCTAAAAAAAATTAGTAAAATGCTGGTAAACTTTTGCAGGCAAAACCTTTGATAAAAGAAAATAAGATAAAAGAACTAGTTGATCCATGTTTAAGGGGCGGCTATGATTTGGACCAGATGAACCGGGTTATTGCAATCGCTTCTACTTGCATACACCAGTCTGCAGCGAACCGACCCCAAATGAGCCAGGCAGGTTCTTTCGTTTCAATTTTCAACTTCTATCAATTTAAAATTATTTCCTGCAAGCATTACAATCTGATGGATTTCATTTTTCTTATTCAAATAATTTTGTTTCTTTATTTAATTAATAGGCAAATTAGATTATCAGTCACTTATCTTTAATCGTTTTTTCATTTAGTCATTAAAGTATAAAAAATATAATCATATTAAACGTTTCTTTTCTGATCACTCTGCATTAGGTCTTTAATGGTGGGATGACATGTTATTTCTTTTGTGATGAGAAAGTCAAAAATATTTTTTATTTTATTTTTTTATTTGGTACTCTTTTGTTTGTTTTTGTTTTCATCTTCTTTTTTTAAAAAAAAAACACTAAAGAAAGAAAGAAAATCTTCTTAAATTTTCTTCTCCCACTTTTTATTGTCGCTTTTGAAATCATTACTCTTCAATTATTCTAGATATAGATAAACTTACTTTAAATTTTCTCAAAACACTTTAAAATTCATGAAATTTCAACACAAACCTTTTTTCTTTGTTTTTGTTTTGAGAGGTTGCAGGACTTTATCAGATTTAAAGAGTCGTGTGCCCAAAATTTTAAACAGATGACAAGCATTCTTCGAAAAAGATAAATAACATATCTTGAAACTAATTTTATTAGATAATAATTGATGGAGATCAAAATAGTAGAAGGTTTAAGATTTTATTTAATTTTCGTTGATATTAAATGACTTTCAAATAAAATCAAATTGAATATGAAAAAGTGAGAAAAAAGAGGATCATTTTGATAGTTACGTCAGAAATGATGATGGTTACAAAGTTTTTAAGGTTTATGAAAAAAAAGAAAAAATATTATTTTATAAGGATAAAGTATATAAATAGTCCCTAAACTTTTAGGGTATTTGCATTTTGATCACTCAACTTTTAAAACTTGCTATGCAACTATCGAACTTTTAATCATTTTTAGTAGGGTCCTTGTCGTACTCTATTGTTAGGTTTTGCTGACGTGGCACTTAATTGTTTTTAACCCCTTTTCTCCTTCTTCTTTTCTCCTTCTTCTCCTCTTCCTCATCCACCTTCTTCTTTTTCGCCTCTACGGAGGAGGGACGACGACGAGGAGCCATGACTGACTGGGTTTTGTTCGGAACAATGTGAGGATTTCAATGGTGGTGGCGGTGTGGCGAACGAACAGCCCTATCGGTCAAAAAGCTATCAAAACAAAAAAAGGAGATTTGGGATTTTCTGACGAGATTCGAGGCCCTCTCCACGACGAACGAAGGTGAGTCTCGGCGAGTGGCTAGCGAGGTTTTGGTTGGAATGGGGCGATGCTCTTACTGGTACCGGCGACTGATGGCGGAGATCGCAGATGAGTGTTCGAACGATTTTCTCACTATTTAGGACAAACGGTGGACGGTGAGTATGAATCGAGGGCTGGAGTGACCCATCGCTGACCGGGGGTGGGGTGAACGGGAGAAGAAGAAGAAGAAGGGGGAGGAAGAGGAGGAGGAGAAGGGGGTTAGCGGTAGTTAAGTGCCACGTTAGCAAATGGTTATGCCATGGATTTTACTGCAAACAATTAAAAGTTAGGTGACCAAAATGCAAGTACCCTAAAAGTTTGAGGACTATTTATATACTTTACCATTTTATGAAGATGTTAAAAAAAATAATGATCTAGAGATTAAAAAAATAAATTTAGAAATATTATAATTATAAATATTTAAGTTTAAGCAAATTTATTATATTAAATTCTGGATTGGGGAAAAAACAGGTTGTATCAGTGTTGAAGGGTGATATAAGCTGCTTGGAGATGCTTCGAGAACGTGAGAAATCAGTACATCAAAGAACATACTCAGCAGAGGATATCAATGACGTGGAAGATTATAATTCAACTAAACAGTTGAGCGATTTTAACCGCCAGCTTGAGCTTCTTCTAGGAAATACTGAAGATACTTTATAAAATTTGTATTCTTCTTCAAATCATTATTACGAACTGGTTTTTATTTTCACCCAAGTTAGAGGGATTAATCCCTTTTTCTTTTCTTTTGCTATGTGAATTGTTGTTACTAGATAGTTCAATATTCATAAAATTATTTTAAATTTAGAAATATATATTACTATTAATATAACTTTAATAATGATTTTAATAATCATATTTGGTTAGTTGATCAAATTGTTAGGTTCTAGATCTATTATGTGCATCTCATTCTTTCTCTTATAGTACCTTTTCTGTACCTCTACCAGAATCAGTTGATAATCCATTGGCACAATTTTATTTTCAATTTATAAACTTAAAGTCTAATATTATTGTGTTGACCAATTAAAAGCTCATTAATTTTTTAAAAAACTTGATATAATTAATTTGTTAAGTAATTTTATAAGTTTAATTTTATTTTAATTTAAGAAATGGTTGCTTATGTTATTATTACTTTTTCATGTGTCTATTATTTTATCTTTTTCTTAATTTCTCATTTTGTTGGGATTTGTCCCCTTTTTTTTGAAAATTTTCTTTTTTATTATTTTATTTTAAATGATTGCAAGAAAAAAAAAATATCTTCCACTAGTTTCAAACCTAGTTTTTCAAATCTATAGACTGGATGCCAAACCAACCAATAACTCTTTCTTTATTTAGATAACTTGTAGTTTATTTTTATTTTATTTATTTAATATAAAATCGTTCTTTAAACAGTTAACGAGATACTGAAGATTTAACTGATTCGACCACCGATAGAATTTTCAAAATATTAGATTGTTTTGATTTATTTCTCTTAGGCCCTAGTCGAGGTGAAGACGACGAATGATGTCAAGTAGCAAAAATCTTGAGATCTTTGAATGGTACCAATGGAAAAATTATAGCGATGACGGTTTTGATGATTTATTCATTTATGTTAAATAAAGAGTTATGATCAATGATTTTAATGAAAGGAATAATATAATATATAATGTAGTGCATATAAAGAGATCGAGAGAGAAATTGAAGATCTTCTTTCTCAGCTATGGATGGTAATTAATATATAAAATTTTAGAGTTGGATTTAGATTTAAGGTAATGATAATTATTTATCTGATGATTATCTATATGCTGATAGGACATATGAATATTATTATCTAACAATAAATTAAATTCGGACAAATTACGTAAATTTATTAGTAATCATTCATAAGATTACAATTTTTCGTAAAATACGAACTTTGAAAGTTTCTAAGAATTAAGGTGGCGTTTGGTTCGCTGGAATGTTTATGAGGGAATTAGAATATGTGAAGGAATTATAATCTGTCAGGAATTAAAATTAAATTCTATATTCTGTTTGGTTGGCAGGAAATTGAATTGGAATCCAATTCCATATTATGTTTGGTTCGCATACATGTCAGATGAATTTGATTTCAGTAATGTAAAATGACAGGATTGCCCTTCTTGTTTTTTTTTGTTTAATTTTAGTTTGTTTTATAAATTACATGTAGCAATATATTATTAAAATTTAAAAAAAATTAAATTTTAATTTTATTAATTGATTTTTCATTTCAATAAATTATAAAAATCATGCTAATAAACATCATAAGTTAAAATCATCCCAATTAGGGATGGTCATGGGTCGGGTTGGATCAGATTTTTGGTCCACCCGACCCGAACCGAGAACAAGGGAACCTCCATCCAAGGCCCAAACCCGACCCGAATATATGAATTAGAAACCCGACCCGACCCAAAATAATAAAAAAAATACTTTTATTCAATAAAAACATTGACTTAATTAAAACATATATATAGAGTGATATTATTGTAATTATTCTTAAATATAAGGTAAAATTATTTATTTTTTTTGGGTCGGACCGGGTTTTTTTTACCCTAAACCCGAACCCGACCCGACCCGACCAAAATAAAGTTTCACCCAACCCAACCCAAATATATGAATTAGAAATCCGACTCGACCCGAAATAATAAAAAAATTATTTTTATTTAATAAAAATAGTGACTTAATTGAAAAAATTATATAGAAGGGTATTATTGTAATTATTCTTAAATATATAAGATAAAATTATATATATTTTCGGGTCGGGTATTTTTCAGCCTAAACCCGAACTCGACCCGATCCGAATATCACACTTAAAAAAACCGACCCGACTAAAATAAACTTTCACACGACCTGACCTGAATATATGAATTAGAAACCCGACCCGAAATAATAAAAAAATATTTTATTTAATATATGAATAAGTTACTAAAAGATTGATGAGGGTAGTATGATCAAATTTCAATTCCCTCCAACAAGGTAATTGAATTCCATCATAGAATGAATGAAATTCACTTTCCCACATTTGATGGAAATTTGAAGCCACGAGAGTTCCAATTCCCTTGAAAAACTTAAACTAAACATGAAAAAGTGGTAAAATTAGATTCTAAATCTCCTTAATTCTAAGGAATTCATGCGAACCAAACGTCACAGGAGTGATTTGCAGAAAAAAATCTGAAAGATACATAACACGTGTCATCTTATCTATAATGAAGTTGAGGAATCGAAGAATGATTCGGATTCCAAGAAAAAGAGAGAGCTCTAACCTTAAAGAACCCATTAATAAAAAAAGAGAGCAGAATATTAAATTATATAAATATTTAAATTTAATTCCGATAGTGCATTTTCTTTATTATAATTACAGAGGTTGAAACTGGGGGAGGTTTGCATTGAAAATTTGAAAGCATAATGATAATAATCCAACATCACAACACTTGGTACTTTCTTCAAAACCACAATTCAATCTAAAACACTATACCATCAATCAGAATTCCTAAAATTATTCAGAATTATCAAACGATCAAATCAGATGAACTCCATTGATTAACAAGAGGAAAAATTGCCATCACAAAACCCTAAATTTCAATCTCCTTGAAGCTTGCTTACCTCGATTTCCATGGACTCCAGAGTCAGATTCATCACTAAACCACCCCACAGATTTCTGAGCCTCAAGCACAATCTGTGAAATACCTGCAAAATAATAATAATAACAATCTCAGTGCATGGATTAAATCATTGTTTTAAACAAAATTAAGAGTTTTCTGTTCACAGATCAGATATAATTTTTTTAAGAAGATAAAATCAGAAAGGATTCGAGGAAGAAGGGGATCATAAAACTTCGTTTTTGCCTTCTTGAACGCTAATCAAATGCATGGATTAAATCGTTATTTAAAACAAAATTCAGAAAAACAAAACAAATTATCTTTCTACAGACCAGAAATTGAAGAGAAAGAACATAAAATCAGAAACCAATGAAAGGATAGAGAAAGAAGAGGATTCAAAAACTATGTCTTATTAAAGTTTAATTTTGCCTTCTTTAACGGTTTGCTTGTTGTGGCGGATGTCGTGGACGGTGGCGGAGATCTTCCAGTAAAGCGGCCGTCCGACGTAGAAGAGAGCCAAGAGGAGAAGCGCCACCAATACAATGCGAAGTGCGAGCTTAGATATTTGGGAAGCCATTGATCTGATCAATTCTTTTGCTTTGATTTGGCGAAGTTGAAGATTTATTATTGGGAAACTGAAGAATGAGATCCATTTGAGTGACTGAAAAAAAAAATCCACAAAATAAGGATAAAGTACTATATAGGTCCCTAATCTATATCAAAATGATTTGTTTGAATGATTTACTTTTACATATTATAAAATAGTCATTACATTTATCAAATTATTATAAAATAGTTCCCACAACGTTATAAATAATAATACATTTTAATAAGTTTAAGTACTTATATTATAATATATTGATAAAATAAACGACCATTTTATCATAATTTAATAAATTTTAATGATTATTTTATTATAATTATTTAAAAACTTTAATGACCATTTTATAATTTAAAATTTTAATAAATAAAAATTTTATTTTGACATAATTTAATGACTAACGTTATACTTTATTCCAAAATATCATTTTTAACTTATTTAATTAATTAGTAATAAAGATCAAGATTAAATTACAGTTTATTAAATAATACTATTTTCAAATATTAAAATGTAAAAAACATTATTAATATATTGTTATGTTATTCATTACATAGTTGAGTTATTTGGTCAATAGTTTTACAGACCCAATAAATAAGCATATCGGTAATCTTGTTTCCATGTTGGAATCTTCTCTTCTAATTATAAAAAAATTTAAAAAATTAAGTTTTCAATTACAAGTACTTCCTACGATATTTTAATGTACTACGATATTAAATTTATGTTTAAAATGTTTTATATTCACATAACTCTTGATCAATTTATGAGTTGTCTATACAGTTAGTAGAGCACAAGGTTTTTAACCTTGAGGTCGTGGGATCGAGTCTAACGGTGGGCAATTCATAAATTAGAGGTCTCCCACGGAAGCTGCTCTCAACCTGACGTTGGGGGCAGCCTACTATCCTACCTCCCCCTTATCCCATTATATATGAGAATAAGGGTCAGCTAATTTTGTTAGAAGAAAAAAAAAACGTTAAAATAAAGCCACTATGTGTATAATTTATCCAAAATAAAAAAGGTTGTATAAAGATTATACACGGTGTTTTATTATAATATTTTGTATAGGGTGGAGCGTTCGATCGAGTTGAGTCAATTTTTTTTGAATTATTCGAGTTGATGAGTCTTATTTTATAACTCAAACTTGATTTGAAATTCTTTCGAGTTAACTTTAGTTTATAAAATTTGAGTCGAGTTTTATGAGTTTCTATTTAAATTTAATTGTAAATATTCATAATATTATGATAATATTTGATTCTAATTTAAATAGTTTTCTATAACCATATACGATACATATATATTTCTTCATATTTTTTTAATATGTGATACACATATATTATATGGACTCATGAGACTTCACTCAAATTTGAAAATCAATTCAATAATCACTAAAAATTTTGAGTTGTTCAATTTATTCAAGTTGCACTTTATAACTCAACTCGAACTTAAAATTTTTTCAAGTCTAGTTTATAAAATTACAACTCGAATAAATTCGTGTTAAATTTTTT